GATTTCGGCCTCTCTGAATCCTAGGATTACAGGCGTGAGGCACTCAGCCTGGGGGAAGTGATTTGAGGCATTTTTCTCTGATAGTGCATGAATCTAGTCCTTTATGTTGCATAAAACTTTGCAGAGGCCCCATGCTTGTATGTATACATATGTATATGTACATATTTTTATGTTTCAAAAAATATGCACACACACACACACACACACACACACACACGTATATACTCATTCCATGCATGAGAATGAATATACAGACTTACTATTTGCTCAAAACAAATAAAGAGAATTAACTTTATTTTCCCTCAATATCTGTGTGGGTACATATTGAATCCTTTCTTGATTTATTAAGCTATAAAGAATAATGACTAAGATTGTTGTTACCAGTTTAGTTGTTCTGTGGCGAAAGTGGGGAGGAAGGAAACTAGGTTCATGCACTCCTCTAGAAAGAGAAGCTCATTTCTGTTTATTTTTCCCACTCAGCCCAGGTGTATTTAGTGGCCAATGGGCTTGGCCTCTACTTCAGGTAAAGTGTGTGACTATAGCTTGCAGGATTCAGCCCTACTAGATGTAGGAATGATCCCTGCCATTGGAGGTATTCCTATCTTGGTCTGGATACTGCCCCTCCAATCTGTGGGTGAATCTCAGAGGGTCCGTATTCTCATCAGAGACTAGCTTCACAGCAAGTGGGCTTTCTGAGTGGTGTGGCCATGCCTTCACTGTGCTATCACGAGATCACTCTAATGCTGTGGTCTGGAGAAAGATGCCACTCAACTTGGAACTGCATCTGTTTGTCTAGCAGCCCACACTAACACTCCCTAGTCCTCTCATTTCTAAATTAGGAGTCCTTACTGAGGCTTACCAGATTCCCTTTATTATCCATAACCTTATCTCTTTTCCTGGGAAGGAGAGCTAGAAGTTAGCCACTGAGATGTCTTCCAATTCTGCTCCATTTTTTCAGAACGTGATTTAACGTATCTCATCTAACATTTAAAACATTTACTGAGCATCGCAAATGTAGGGAACATGGCAGATTCCACAGATCATAGAGTCCAAAGCCAGATAGATATATATTCTAATCCTTAGTATGCCACTTACAAGATAACTGACCTTGAATGAATTACTTAATTTCTTTCAGCTTTAGTTTTCTTGTTTATTAATTGGAATTAGTAATACCTCTATTACATGATTTTTGTATTAGAATAATGTACATAAAGCAAAAGGTAGTTTAAAACTTAGATGTGTACACATTTATAATTTTGGAGGATTTGAAAGTTTTAAAAAATGTTTGAAAATTTGTACAAAAGATTCCTAAGGTGTTTTTCCTACCACAAATTGTTTTCCCATCTGCAATTGCATCTGAATTTGAGTAATAGCAGTCCATAATTAGGCAGCCAAGATGTCACTTCTAATGCATTCTGTTTACGAAAGTGAGTCATGGAGCCAGCCCAGAGTCAATGTAGAAGGAAACTACACAAGGGCATGGATGTTGGGAAACAGGACATCGATCATTTCTGGACTCTAGCTATCACAAAAGCTAATAGAAGAAACACATTCCCTATGGCAGATACATACCAAAGTGCTAATGAAGCACAACACACATCCAGTAATCATCAGTCATGCCAATTTGATCTCTCAAATACTGCTCATATCCAATTTCCTTATTTCTATATTCCTGCCTACTCTCCTAATTCAGGCATTCAGTACCTCTCACTGGAATCATCTCAATGGCCACGTAATTGTCCTCCTGCCTCTAGTCTCAAGTTCCTTGAATCTAAGTTCTGCATGACCACTAGAGTTACTATAAAATTTATTTCTAATCAGATTACTTCCTGCTTATCTTTGGGTATGAGGAAACACTAAATGTTGTAAAGTTCAAACTCCATATTAAAACATACAAAGCCATCTACAGTTTCCCTTTAAGTTACCTTTTATTTTAATCATCCATTCTTTTCCACCACATACTCTAGATATGTGTGTGTACATATATATACATATGTGTGTGTGTATGTGTGTATATATATGTCAGTCATTTAAACATTCTAACCATGCATGCACATATTAAGCTCCATTCTAAATCTGTGCCTTTACAGATTTATGTACATGCTATGGTTAAAATTCTAACCATTTATGCACATGTTAAGCTCTGTCCAAAATCTTTCCTCTTTGCCCAAAATATACTCTTCCCATTATAAAATGCACAAATATCTATTCATCCTATATGGCTCAATTCAGGTAGCATTATTTACTCTCAATCTGAGATCTTATAGGATAAAACTTGTAACATTTTATTATAAATATTCCTGGATCTTGTTCTCATTTGTGATTATTTTGACAAAAATATTTGCTACTGAGAGTTATTTTATGTTTATATTCCAATGGAAGCATTTCCTACCAGGAGTGCAGAGATTCCTTTTAGTCCTTAAACCAATGGCTGGCCAGGTCCCAGTCTCTTCCTTTAGCAAATTTCCACTTCAAACCATAAGATCTAGAGAGAGGTTACAAGAGAGACCGTGCGACGAGTGGGGAAAGAGCAAACCTCTCCTGGGCAAGATTCCTCTGTCTCGGTTTACATCTATGTATGTAAAATGAGGCAGTGCCACTTTCCTACATGAAGATGGTAGAACTTTCAAAGCATCCACAGGGGCTCCTTCCAGACCCCTTGCTCTTTTCAAATGGGAAGGATCCCTTATTGCCATAAAACTGTTATCTTTGTATTCATTTTGGGATCCAAATCCAAAAACCCTAAGGAGGAAAAAGTATCCTCATGGTGTATACTTTGAAAAGTTTACCTCACCTCACAGGGTTTGTCATTTTCCAGCAAATCCTAAATCTGCTTCATAATTTGTTTCCATTTTATGCAGTAATTCAGATTCAGATTCACTTTTGACCCTAAATGAAATGTTGAGACTTCTACCATTATTACATTTAAATGGCAACACTTCAGAGACATTACAGTTCTTGTTCAATGTTGGCCCCCCTAAAAGTATGTCCACACCCTAATCCCCAGAAACTGTGAATGTGAACTTATTTGGAAAAAAGGAATATGCAAATGTAATTTAGTTAAGGATATTGAAATAAGGTCACCTTGGATTATTCAGGTGGACCCTAAAACCACTGACAAGTGTCCACTTAAGAAACACACAGATGAGAAGGCCACCTGAACACCAGGGTAGAGACTGGAGCTGTGCAGCCACAGCCCAGGAACGCCCGGAGTCACCAGAAGCCGGCAGAGGCAAGGAAGGATTCTGCCCTAGAGAAAGGAGAGAAAACACTACCCTACCAACACCTTGATTTCAGACTTGCGGCTACTCGTACTGTAAGAACATAAGTTTTTTGTCATATTAAGCCAACAAGTTTGTGGACATTTGTTAGGGCAGCCCTAGGAAACTAATGCAGTCTCCCAAAGGTAACATTTCTAAATAGCTACAACCAAACTTTGGTTGTTTCCATGGAAGGGCACGTGACAACCCAATGTGATTTCACTGGTCTTTTGAATATTTCAATTCAAATCTAACGCTTTGCATTCAATCACACACTTTTATTTTTCATTTAATAAATATTTGAGTATCCACCATTTATCAGATATTAGAGTAGTTTCTTAGGACATGTTGGCGAATAATAGACAAATATGTATTCAGTGCTTACCACATATCAAGGAGTGTACTTGTGATACATCAGCAAATAAGGCAGCAGAAATTCCTTGTTTCCATACACCTTGCATTCTAGAGCAGCACTGTCTGATAGAACTTTCTGAGATGGTAGAAATATTCTACATCTGCACTGTCCAATTGACACTAGCCACTTTTGGCTATTGAGCACTTGAAATGTGGCTAGTATGAATGAGACACTAAAGTTTAAATTTTATTTAATTTAAGTTTAACTGTCCCCATGTGGCTAGTAGCTACCATTGTAAGATAGTGCATTTCCTGCAGATGCTACATAGGGCCAACTCAGTTAATGAACAGATAGTTATGCAGGTAATATGCACTGTGAGAAGTGTGACCAAAGTTCTGTGGGAGCCCACAGCTTTCCTTAAGTTACCTTCTATTTTTATCCTGCACCCATATCAACCACACACTTTAGATGGATTCCAGCCAGAATACATCAGGACAGGAAGCTACTCTATCCAAGCATTGTGCTTTAAAGAAGCCTTACTACAGGAATTTATATCTGATGGGTAAGGCTTTTCTTTCTAATTATATTAACATGATCCCCAACCTTGCTGTTATGTGTAATGGTAGCATAATGGGACAGAGGATAAGAGCTTAAAATGAATAATTTTCAAGGCACCTCTGGATGACAAAAGAGAAATATGCATTTTTTTATCTTCCATTTTGAGGCAATAGGTTGTATAACAATAAATTATACGAGTCCTTCTCACATTCATTGAAATGTCTGTGACTTAATATGTCCCATTAGCACATGTACAAACACATACTACATGACATAACATGATCCTTGATGACAAAGGAAATGACAAAATGGGACTTTTCTATTTTCTACTAATGCTCTAGTTTTAAATCACAGAATCCATTTTTTTTATTTCAGCATATTATGGGGGTACAGATGTTTAGGTTACATATGTTGTCCTTGCCCCCCCTGCCCAAGTCCGAGTCAGAATCCATTTTTAAAAGACAAATTGTTCCTCCCTAAACAATATTGGTATCAGTAAACTCTTTCCTTCCGAGCCTTGACACACTTGCATACTACCTAAATTAGAAAACAACTTTAAAAGAATTGGTTATTAAATCAGCAGTTTTAGATTCCTGTGACAGGGGGCAGCATCTGCGAACATAGACTCTCCTCTGAAGTGGGTGGGTACAATAGAGTGATTGGCTGTCTCAAATTGCAGTCACCCTTTTCCCCTTTCCAAAATGCATCTACTACTTTCCAAAGACGACCACAGCTACTTCTTGGGATCTGGAAGCAGCCTGGGCAAAGGAAACCCATTTAGGAGCAGTTAGATTCAGCAACTCTTTCTGAAGAAGAAGGAGAGGGAGATGCTACTCACCGTACCATTATTGATCTTATGGATACAGCTGTCACGTGAGTTTGAGATTTGCCTGATGGCTTTCTGAAAATCCAACATAGTAGACAATTATCTGCAGGCAGGGAATGGACTTTCTATTTGAGAAACAAAAAAGGTGAGGGAGAGGGAACATCAAGGTAGAGGGAGATGGGGAGGGAAATATGGAAAGAAAGAGAAAAATAGACATAGACAAGAAGAGTGACAGAGACTCTGGAGCTCAGGGACTAGATAGAGGCCTAGTCTGATAGCATCTGATGCCTCCCATTGTCTTTCTGAACAGAGCTGAATGGACAAGAGGTAAAGCAAATTCCTCAGTTCCTGCACATACAGGAAGGAGAGGACTTCAGCACATACTGCAATTCCACAAGCACTTTAAACACTGTACAGTGGTATAAGCAGCGGCCCGGGGGAAGCCCTGTCCTCCTGATGATATTAGTGAAGAGTGGAGAAGTGAAGAAGGAGAAAAGACTGACAGCTCAGTTTGGAGAAACAAGAAAGGACAGCTCCCTGCACATCACAGCCGCCCAGACTGCAGATGTGGGGACCTACTTCTGCGCAGTGGCACAGTGCTCCCCAAGCACCTGTTGCCTGTCCCCAAACCTTGCCCTGGGACCTAGGAGCAGCCCCTCTCACTCTCTCCTCAGAGCAGGAGCCAGAGAAAGTTGAAGCCACAATGTCAGTGAGGATTTAGTGCAACTCCTCCCATGGATGGTGGGAATGTATATGGAAATTCACTCTGTAAGACCTGGAAGAATTTAACATTTTTACTTTATAAAACTCAACCATTGGTTTTGTTCTACACAGATGTCTCGGGGAATTCCAATTGTCCCGGGAAGAATCAGTGAGTTTTGACAAATTGTGATGCAGACATTCATATAAAGTTTCTGAGTGCCTCTCTCAGTGGTAACAGTGGTTTCCAAACAGTTTCTTTAAGGTTTTACCCAAACTGTGTTGTAGAAATTCTGAATATTAAACATTTTTTGTTACGCACTCAAAATTTAAAAATTTACTGCCATCTACCTGAAGAGTCACCTATGCAGAATTCATCTGCCTTAATGGAGTGCAGTCCAATATAACATGAAGATCATCCATGAGGTACTTACCTCTCCAGAGAAATGAGTGAACAAA